GACTCACTCGCTGCGAAGCGGACAAAACAGTCTAGCGAAGCATCTTTATATATATATTATCTAGTACTACTACTACTCCTCCTCCTCCTCCTCCTGCTGCTGCTGCTGCTGCGACTAGTACGACAACCACGACTACGACGACGACGACTACTACTACAAGTACTAGTAGTAGTAGTACTCTACTATTAAATTACTACTATTAAATTACTACTACTACTACTACTAGTACTACTACTACAACAACTAGTAGTAGTAGTACTACTACTACCACTTTTACTACTACTACTACTACAACTACTACTACTACTACTACTATTACTACTAATACTACCACTACCACTACCACTACTACTACTACTACTTCTTCTACTACTACTACTTCTTCTACTACTACTACTACTATTACCACGACTAGTACTACTACTAGTACTACTAGTACCACCACCACCACGACCACTACTACTACTACCGCCAACACGGTTCTCATTGGGAGAAATGACTTGGGAGGGCAAAATGGTAGAAAAAACGATAGGTTTTGCGTTTGTCCCACTGGGTTGGATTACCGGACCCCTACTAGCACCACCACTACCACTACCACTACGACCACTACTACTACTACTCCTGCTACTACTACCACTACTACTACTACCACTACTACCACTACCACTACTACCACTACCACTACTACGACTACTACTACGACGACTACTACCACCACCAAGACCACTACGACCAATAGGGTTTTCAGTGGGAGAAAGGATTTGGGAGATAGGTTTTGAGTGGCTTACCACAAATCGCTCGACTGCTACTAGCACTACTATACTACCAGCACCTGGACTAGTACGAAGTGCTACTACCACCACCAAGAGCACCAATACTGGTACCAATATGGTACTCACTGGGAGATAGGACTTGGGAGGGCAAAAACGTAGAAAAAACGATAAGTTTTGCGTGAAGGTGAGGCTTGTACCGCTGCTACCACCACTAGTAGCACTACTACTACTACTACTACTACTACTACTACTACTACTACTACTAC